GTATTATAGACTCTAAGTCCATCCACGTTAGCAACATACTTTAACAATATTAATTAATCATGGTGCTATTGCTGTTATACAGGTGTTCTCAACATTGTGGGTTAAAAAACAAATAAGTATAAGGACTTTGGAAAGCAATAAGGTAGTAAGAATCAAGAATCTTGGAAAGTTTATTTCCTTTGGTCTGGAAATCCTTTTTCTTAGAATCCTAATTTTATTTTTTTTATTCATTTATTTATTAAAGCAGGATTTATTGAGAGGACAGAAAAGCTCCTACAATGGGAGGGGACCTGAAGAGGTTGCCCAGAATCTTAATTTTAAAAGATAGAAAAAAGTTGCATGGACTATGAGGTCCACTGCAGTATTACTTATAATAGTTAGAAAGTGTAAACAAGTGAAAATTACAATACTAGGCTGTAGTCTATGTGTCATCTATGAGATTTGGCCATAGTAACCCTGAGGTATGTTTACACAATTCTAAGTTTTAAAATCAAAATAATAAATTTCTTGTGCAATGTGATTTTAAAAACTACGACAACTAAAACATGCAGAAAATAGAAAATATGAAGCTAATATATCAAAATTTCAAAACATAATTTTTTTTCTGGAAGGAGTATATAGGCAGCATATTTATTTATTTTGCTTTTCTGGTTTTCTCCTTAATTTCTTAAATTAAAATGTACCTTAAAATAGAAAAGTGGGCCGGGCATGGTGGCTTATACTCGTAATCCCAGCACTTGGGAAGGCCAAGGTGGCAGGATCACTCGAGGCCAGGAGTTTGAGACTAGCCCTGGGCAACATAGTAAGCCCCCTGTCTGTATCCAAAAAAAATTTTTTTTTAATTAACCAGGCATTGTGGTGCACATGTGCAGCCCTAGTTACTCAGGAGGCTGAGGCAGGAGGATTGCTTTAACCTAGGAACTGGAGGCTGCAGTGAGCTATGGATCACACCACTGCACTCCAGGTTGGACTACATAGCAGCACTCTGTCTCAAAAAAAAAAAAAATTAAAACAAATAGAAAAAATAAACTTCAAAAATGTTATCTCTAACCCACCACCATAAAAACTTTTGTGGCTAAGTTTCCACTGCTCAAATTCATCATTCTCCCTTCCCCATCAGGCAATATTTATTGAGCGGGTCCTTTAACATCACAAGACTCTAGTGCCACGCATTGGTTTTTATGATCTTACTGGAAAACTACTAGGTGCATAGAAAGGTATGCGTGCACGGTGTCTGCAGCATACCATAGATCATTTTGGATTGCCAGACAGTAAAGGAAGAACACTGTAAACACTAATTTTTACTCCTAGATGGCTTAGTAATTTGCTAAATTTCCTTGTAATTGCTGCTAATTATTCATTACATTAGAGTAGAAGGTGGCAGCTATAAATTTTCAGTGAAAACAAAACTTAAATACAATGCATCCAAATGTCTCTGCAGACCCAAGTGGCAGCCTGCTTTTCCTATTAGGGAAATCTAGCCGGCGCAGGCCACGCCTGCTGCTTCTTAAGGTGGCAGATGGAGAACGAGCCAAGGTGGCAACACTGAGAGTGTGCTTTGGGCTGGGTGAGGAGATGGCAGGAGCAGCTGACCAGCCCGGCTCACACAGCAAAGCACTTGGGAAGCTGGCCTCTCCCAGGATGGGCCATTTTCACCAGCCCCCTACACCCTCCCCAGGGAGGTGCCGGCACCTCTGGTCATCGCTGCAGTCGCTCATTTATTCTTTCTTTCATTCATTCACTGCACATGTATTGGGCACCTGCCTCCAAGGGGGCCGGGTGGGAAACCAAGAAGACTCCCCTAAAGGAGGCTGAGGGGAGGCCATCTCTGCATTGACCGACTGTGCCTCCAGAGTGGCACAATCACAAGGCACTGTCTGGAAGGGCATCAGAAAAGAGGCTTCTGTCTGGAAGGGCATCAGAAAAGCCTCATTTCTGAGGAGGAGGCAGCAACAGAACTGGACCTTGACACTTAAGAATCGGCAGTATGGGCCGGGATCAGTGGCTCAGTCTGTCATCCCAGCACTTTGGGAGGTCGAGGGGAGTGGATTGCCTGAGCCCACGGGTTCAAGACCAGTCCAGGCAACCTAGCGAGACCTCATCTTTACAATTAAAAAAAAAAAAATTAGCCGGGCATGGTAGCATGCACCTGTAGTTACAGCAGAAGGATCACCAGAGCCCAGCAGGTCGATACTGTGGTGGCCGTGAGTGGGCCACTGCACTTCAGCCTGGGCGACGGAGTGAGACTTTGACTCAAAAAAAAAAAAAAAAATTGGGGGCAGTGTGTGCAGACACTGTGGAAAACAGCATGGCAGATCCTCAAAACACTTAACACAGAACTATCACACAAACCACTCCCGGGTACATACCCAAAAGTGAAGTGAAAACAATGACACAAATGCTCGTAGCAGCACTATTTACAATAGTCGAAGGGTGAAACAACTCAAAGGCCCATCAACAGATGAGTGAATAAAGAAAATGCGATAAGAGCATACAATATGGAAGGTCGATTTTGAGATCTTTTAGGAATCGCCACACTGTATTCCAGAGAGGTTGTACAGGTTTACACTCCCACAATCCCCCAGCTGGGAATATACCCGGAGGAACTCGAATCACTCTATGAAAAAGATACCTGCACACACATGTTTATTGCATTATTCACAATAGCAAAAACATGGAACCAATCATGCTGCCCATTGAAAGAGGACTGGATGAAAAAAATGCGGTAAATATACATGATGGAATATCATGCAGCCATAAAAAAGGACAAAATTATGAACTTCACAACTTGGATAGACTTAGAGTCTATAATACTAAGTGATCTAGCACAGAAACAAAGAACTGAGTACCACATGTGAGCCTTGTTCAGTGAGCCTTGAACAATTATCATAATACTGTAAGAAAGGGATTGGCAGTAGTGGGAAACGGCCAGGGGATTGGGGGGCACACCTCATCAACAAGGGTACCTGTGTAATGAACATTTGTATACCTAACTCTGAATTTTACCCCACATCTTTAAAAGAAAAAATTGTAAATAAAGAAAAATGAACAGACAATAGAACACTATTCAACTTTAAGAAATGGAATTCGAACTCATGCCACGACATGGATGAACCTTGGGGACACTAAGTGAAATAAGCCAGACACACACACAAAATTGTACAATTCCACTTATTTGAGCTACTTAGAATAGTACAATTCATAGACAGAAAGTAGAGTGGTGGTGGTAAGAGCTGGGTAGAGGTAGGTAAAATGATACAGAGTTTCAGTTGGGGAAGATAGAAAAGTTTTAGACTGGGATAGTGGCGATGCTTCAAAACGATCTGAATGTTCTTAATGCCACTGAGCTGTATGCTAAAAATGGTTAAAATGGTCAATTATGTGTTATGTATATATTGCCACAGTAAAAAAATAAATAAATAAAAGGTACTTAAAAATGTGACAGCATGCAAGGAGGAAGAAGAGTGATAGAAGTGGAGAAACAACAGGAGCCAGAGTACAGAAGTGGGAAATTACAGGTTCTAGTCAGAAAATAGAGACCAACTTGGCTGGAAAATATTGGATGCATGATATACACAATAACAACAATAGTAGTAACCACACATATGATGTTTAAAGAGCGTTGATTTCATACCAAGCATGTGCAACTTCTCTCATAAGCATAATATCACTGTCTTGTCATTAGTTCATAACACAGGTACCCACATACCTTGGTTTATAATGCCTCTCTTTATTATGCATCACAAATATTGCAGGGCTTTTTCTTTCTCACAAATTGAAGGTTTGCAGCAACCCTGGGTCAAACTAGCCTATGGTGCTATTTTTCTAACACCATGTGCTCACTTTGTGCCTCTGTGCCATAATTTAGTAATCCTGTAATACTTCAAACTTCTTCATTGTATCTGCTCTGGTGACCAAGAATCAGTGGTCTCTCATGTTACTATGAAAACTGTACTGGTGCACCACAAACCACGTCCATATATGGTGATGAACTCAATCAACAAATGTGTATGTTCTGACTGCTTCACCAACCCGCCATCTTCCTCCTCTCCTCAGGCCAGTCTATTCCCTGAGACACAACAATATTAAAACCACACCGATTATTAACCCTACGATGGTCTCTAAGCATTCAAGTGAAAGGAAAATTGCACATCTCTCACTTGAAATCACAAGCTAGAAAAGATTAAACTTAGTGAGGAAGGTGTGTCAAAGACTGAAATAAGCCAAAAGCTAGGCCTCTCTTGTCACATAGTTAGCCAAGTTTTGAACGTAAAGAAAAAGTTGAAGGAAATTAAAAGTACTACTCCAGTTAAGAAGGGGAAACAGCTTTCTTGCTGATACAGAGAAAGTTTGAGTGGTCTGGAAAGATCCAACCAGCCACAACATTCCCTTACATCAAAGCTTAATCCAGAGCAAGGCCCTGACTCTCTTCAATACTGTGAAGCCTGAGAGAGGTAAGGAAGCTTCTGAAGAAAAGTTGGATGCTAGCAGAAGTTGGTTCATGAAGTTTGAGGAAAGAAGCCCTCTCTATAACATGAAAGTTCAAGGGAAAGCAGCAAGTGCTGATGGAGAAACTACAGCAAGTTATCTAGAGAACCTAGCTAAGATCATTGATGAAAGTGAACACACTAAACAACAGATTTTCAGTATAAACCAAACAGCCTTCTGTTGGAAGAAGATGCCATGTAGCCCTCGCATAGCTACCGAGAAGACGTCAACGCCTGCTTCAAAGCTTCAAAGCACAGGCTGATTATCTCGGTAGGGTCTCCTACAGCTGGTGACTTGAATTTGAAGTCAATGTTCATTTACAGTTCTGAAATCCTAGGGCCCTTAAGGGTTAATGTACATCTACTCAGCCTGTGCTCTAGAAATGGAACAGCAAAGAATGGATGACAGCACATCTCCTTATAGCACAGCTTAGTGAATACTTTAAGTCCACTGTTGAGAACTATTACTCAAAAAGTAAGATTTCTTTAAAAATACTACTGCTCAATCCCTTTCCCTTGGCAGGCAGTGCGGAGGCCGCACGATGCCCAGAGTTATCGTAAAAGACGTGAACCAGCAGGAGCGCATCAGAGCCCTGGCAACCTTCCTCAAAAAGTCCGGGAAGCTGAAAGTTCCCAAATGGGTGGACACGGTCAAGCTGGCCAAGCATAAAGAGCTTGATCCCTATGACGAGAACTGGTTCTACACACAAGCTGCCTCCACAGCACGGTACCTTTGGGATGGTGCAAGGGTTGGCTCCATTACCAAGATTTGCAGGGGACGTCAGAGAAATGGTGTTGTGGCCCACTGGGTCCTTCAAGCCCTGGAGGGGATGCAAATGGTGGAAAAGGACCAAGATGGGGGCCGCAAACTGATACCTCAGAGACAGAGAGATCTGGGCAGAATCGCCGGACAGGTGGCAGCTGCCAACAAGAAAAGCATTAGAACAAATGATGCTGGGTTAACAAATTACCTCATTCGTAAAACAGATAAAATATGACTGCTCGTAGACAATACGCCTAGTCACCCAAGATCTCTGATGAAGATGTACAAAGAGATTCATGTTGTTTTCATGCCTGCTAATACAACATCCATTCTGCAGCTCACGGATCAAGGAGTAATTTTGACTTGCAAGTCTCACTATTTTAAGAAATACACTTTATAAGGTTATAGCTGCCATAGATTGTGATTTATTTCTCAGGTGGATCTGGGCAAAGTAAATTGAAAACCTCCTAGAAAAGATTCACCATTCTAGATGCCACTAAGGATATGCATGATTCATGGGAGGAGGTCAAATATGAATATAAACAAGAGTGTGGAAGAAGTTGATTCCCACCTTTATGGATGACTTTGAGGAGTTCAAGACTTCGGTGAGGAAAATCACTGCAGATGCAGTGGGAATAGCAAGAGAACCCGGATGAGAAGTGGAGTCTGAAGATAAGACTGAGTTGTTGCAATCTTATGATAAATTTGAACAGATGAGGAATTGCTTCTAATGGATGAACAAAGCAAGTGCTGTCTTGGATGGAATCTACTCCTGGTAAACATGCTATGAACATTGTTGAAATGACATCAGAGAATTTAGAATATTACATAAACTTAGTTGATAAAGCAGCAGCTGGGTTTGAGAGGGCTGACTCCAATTTTCAAAGTTCTACTGTGGATAAAATGCTATCAAGCAGTGTTACATGCTAGAGAGAAATGTTTTGTGAAAGCAAGAGTCAACCACTGCAGCAAACTTCATTGTTGTCTTGTCTTAAGAAGTTGCCACAGCCACACTAACCTTCAACCTGACCATCCTGATCAGTCAGCAGCCATCAACATCGAGGGAAGACCTCCACCAGCAAAAGATGATGACTCACTGAAAGTTCAGGTAATCATTCGTATTTGTAGCAATAAAGTATTTTTTAATTAAGGGATATACATTTTTAAGACAGAATGCTATCGTACACTTAATAGACCACAGTGTAGACTGTAGTGTAAACATAACATTTATATGTACCAGGAAACCAAAACATTCATGTGATTTGCTTGATTGCAATTCACTTTATTGTGGTGGTCTGGAACTGAACTCATGATATCTCCAAGGTATGCCTGTGCTTTTATTATCTAAAGTTAGAGATGAGAAATCTATGGGTCAGAGAGGGCGAGTAATTTTCCCTGTAGGCATCAGAGCCCTGGCCTGACTGTGTCTGTATCCCTAGGGTCCATGCTGGATGTTTCTGCCTCTGGTAGGCAAGGTCGGAAGAGGAATGGGTTGAACCCTTGAACACCAGATTGAGAAGATGGGCCTTAATAATGAGCAAACAGAAGAGAGCCAAGAAGGAATGTTGAACAGCAGAATGACATAAAGAGAATTATGTCCAGGGACTATTAACCTGGCAGTTGAATGTTGGAGGGGTGACAGGCAGGAAACTAGAGGGAAACTTGGAATTTTTCCAGGGAATAAATAAGGATGGTCTGACTGGAAAGGCTGTGATGGAAAGAGTGAGGACAGGCAGAGACAGGCGGCATCATCCAGGGCTCGGGAGTGAACCAAAGAAGAAGAATAAGATCCATTCAAATATTATTCTGTGGGTTTTAAGACTGGAAAGGTGGAACAGCTATTAGAAGCAGGAAGTCCAGGAAGGGGAGTATGTTGTGTTAGGGTCATTTGGAATTGACAATTCTGGAAGATGGTGGTTGGTGAAGATGTTTCTCAGACTGTTGGACAATGCAAGTGGCAGACTTCAGCTGGAGAGGTCCGAGCACCCATGCAGGAAAACTATGGCAGGTGGTGTGATGGTGGGGGTCTGCTGGGGATCTCAGGGCTGAAACCTACACATTTAAGCATTTAGGAGTTTCCAAGAGCCTGGCTGGCTCCCTGCCTGCTAACCCAGCCAGTCAACAGTCTCTATCCAGGCACACCAATCCTCCCAATCATCCATGAACAGAGAACAAAGAAATATCGGGCATTTGAGAATATCTCAAACATGAATAAGAAAGACCGAGATAAACCAACACAAACTGATGACCCCAGAGGAACTGGCAATAATTCAGTGAACCAAAATTATTCTCATTTGTATTCTGCAAGAGTTTGAGACAAAATTGTATTCATGAAAGGAGAGCATGCCGCCATTATGAAAGAACAATCAGCAACTCAGAAAGGCTTCTTTGAAATAAAAATGATCCATGTTATAGTAAAAAAGATTTTAATAGTGAAATTGGAGATAAATTTAGGGAAACATTCCAGAAAGCAGACCAACTAGTTAACAACCTCTGAGACATAATCCAAAAAAAAGATGGGCCGGGTATAGTGAGCTCATGCTGATATTCCCAGCACTCTGGGAGTCTAAGGTGGTAGGATCCCTTGAAGTCAAAAGTTTAAGACAAGCCTGAGCAGTGTAGTGAGACCCTGTCTCTGCAAAAAATAAAATAAAATAAAATAATTAAAAGCCCAGATGACGAATCCCAGAGGGCCAATCTCTGACCAAAGACATAACCCAAGACGAAAAGCTTGAGTCTACATGTTAAGTGAGTCCATCAGGTTCCCAGCACAAGGAATAGAAGAACCATACCCAGAAATATCCCTGTAAAACTTCCACACCAAGAAGTCTAGAGCTAAAGAGACAGGTCACATTCATGGATGTGGTGGCCATGGGAGCAAAGTGGACAGAGGAGCCACCTCCATGTAAAGGCTTCGATCTTAAGGGGTTACCTTGGGCAGCACAGTGGAAAGCCCCTGTTAGCCAGAATTTAATTCCCTTCTTTGCCTGCCCTAACCTTCAGAAGAGAACCTCCTTTTCACAGATCAGTCCCCAAGGGGGGCCTGATGCTGTCGGAAGGTCAGAGTGATTAAGAAGGAAGAGAGAGCCTCCTCCCCTCCCATCATCGGAGGGACACTGGCTCACCAGGAACAAGGCTCTGAGTTACCATGGCATCCTGGCGTCGACGACGAGGTGAGCAACCCTTGAGAAGACAAAGGGCCAAGACAGCCTTTTGACTGATGGGCGGGAGCGGAGAAGAACCCCCCTCGGAGAAGGGAAACGCTTGAGTTTCAGTTGAGCGTCTCACATTCGATTGCGATGTCCTGTGTATCTGTCTGCTCGGGTACCTGTAAGCCTTGGGAGAGAAAGCCTGCATCTTAGTGTACATTCTTAGCCTGCCCTCATCCAGTCCTAGTGCATAATAGGAGCTCAGTAAATTCTGAATAGCCATATGGACAGATGGAGGAATGGGTACATTTCCACTTTTAAAAAAAATATACATAGAAAAGGTGACAGTGGCCCGGCCGCTGAAAAGTACGCACGCTCTCCATTATTAAAAGGAGCTCAGCATAATTGGGCCTTCTTGTCTCTCCTAACAACAGAAAAGACCATTTTGCCTGTCATTCTTCAAAAAAATTGCGAATAATAAGTTTATATGGATGATTAAAACTTCATCTCTAAGAGAATTACACTGCAGAGAAACCGTAGAGGACAGTATTTTCATCCCACAACCATTCCTTAGATCACATCTTTCATTCCTGCTTCTAGGACTGTTTTCCTGCTCTGTGCCTGAGTGACAGTCGCTTAAATAAGACAGAATAGTTAATTCTCTCAGGAGCAAAGGAAGTCCAAAGGCAGTCCATCCAGCGCATCCAGTGTCTGTCTTTCTGTCTCGGCATCATGGCATCCTCAAGTTCACTCCGTGGCCTCTTCATGGTCCAAGATGGCAGCCAACAAACACATGCCAAGAGGCATCAAAAAGAAGGGGGTAACAGCATGTCCTGCACCCTCTACACAAGTCGATAGAGACGCATCTTGTGAGACCAAAAGGATCCCTTGCTTTACACTCTATTGACCTCCCAGCTGTGGAAGGTGCTCCCAGATGCTGGAAAAAATAGTGTCTTTCAACTGAATAAATCAGGGCCCTATTACCACAAAAGAAGGGGATAATGATACTAGGGAACAAGTCGGGCTCCACCACACGGCGGTCAGATGTATTCCTGAGGACCTCATCTTAAAGTCCGGCTCCTTCTCATCCTAGACTCTTAAGGCAACGAACCCATCATGTCCCTGGCTTTCAATGCCATGATCCACCACTGATTACAAACCCATCTTTTTTCAGTACTCCATGCCCCCTTGACCAGAGGTCTTTGTAGTTGCTTTTTTTGTTTGTATAGACGGTTGGCCTTCGGATCCCAAATGAATGCTATGCTGTGATCTTGCACTTGAACTAGGTGTGACTGTCACCTAGGGAAATGTTTGCATCAGAATGCTGTCAGTAGCCAGGAAGCTGAAGAAACATAGAAAGGAAAAGGGCTGAGTGGGCCATTTCTTGATGATGCAGCTTCCGCGCTGGGGGAGTCTCTGGAAGCACCAAGAAGGAGTGAGAGGGCTGAACTGTCCTGTTTCCATCTCCCTCACTGATTCCAGTGAGACACACTTGGCTGCCTCTTTGCTGCCCGCTTGTTCGTTCCCTGGGCATTCCCTGGTGACATATCTTCACGTCTATCCCTGCAAACTCCTGGCCAGCCTGGAGTATCATGCAAGCAATCTGGATATTAAAAATATTCAGACCGAGGAGTTTTATTTTATGGAACATTATAGAATTATAATATGAAGTATGGGTAATGAGAACGCGTCGCATAAAATCAACGGGAAGAGGACGAAGGCTAATCCGTGGAGGAGTTGGACTAGGTACCGTGGGGAGTCCAAACCCCCATTCCACAAAGCACAGACGCACACTCAGGCTTCAGAATATTCCACTTCCACTCTGCTTTCTTCAACAGTTTCTTGTTTGAGTTTCTACTCCAACCGAGTTGGACACTCGGTTAAGGCACTTGAGATGCAAGGATATAAATTACTCAGACTAGGGAATGGTTCTGTTTTTTCTGAATTTTAAAAATGAAGGGTTGAAGAGGATCAATTCTTGTTTTGGAATAAAAAGAACATTATTTATTTTTAACAGAGTTGTCGGCATTCAATTCGCCTGTAATGCATTT